AAAACTTTGTTTCCTATTTCGAGTTTCCCTTCCTTTAATCTCTCCAATCCCTATTTTTTTCGTGACTCTTCCTCTATTTCTGCAAAAATCTGCAATACAGTCCCTCTTACCAAGCTTGTATCTTTGCCACCAAACCAGATCGCCATTGCCTACACCGACGTAAGTCCCAAACTCCACTGCCTTCTACCTCTCACCCTTCTTTTTTGTTGTTTGTCTTCTCTTCTGATTATCCTCTTTTTCCTCCCTGTTTTCTGTCTTTGGATGCCGAATGCTGGTGTATTTATAGGACAAAGTTAAGAGAATTTCAGGTCATTTCCAATTCAATTCAAAAAGCTAAGGATTAATTCTTAATCTTCGACATTTCTGATAAAGATTATCATCAAGCCTAATTTCAAACTTTCAGCTTTTTTATTTTTTGAAATAATAAGATAAGTGTACAAAAAAAAGCAAGATAAATAGAGTGGACAAATATAAACGAAGATAATCAACAATTAAAAAAGGTAAAACAAAATAAGCATAAAAAAATAAAATAATTATAAATATAAAAGAACAACAAGAATAAAATGATATATATATATATATATATATATACACATAAAAAAAATATAATAAAAATAAAAAGATAAAAAATAATATTAATAATATATATAAAATAAAAATTAAACAATTAAATTTGAATCAAGTTCGAAACCCAATTGAGTGCCTAAATAGAGTATCTACATAAAGTATGGGTGATGACAATAATTTTACAATTAAAATTATTAAAAGCTAAATACTGTTATGCCTGATATCTTTATACATATTATACTTTAATACTCGGTATTAATTTTATATATTAATTTAATACATCAATAAATTATTTGTTTTGTTTGTCCACAAAATAATGCTTGTAAACCTTTCGCTAAAAAAAAGAAAAACATGATTAAAATGATATTTAATTCAAATTATAATAAAAAAAATTAAAATTGTTTAGATAAATCATTTTTTTATAATATTTCTAATGTACAAAATATTAAAACAAAAAAGAATACTTTAATCTACATGACACTAAACAATTTTATGGATTTATCGCCAATAATTTAATGATAAGACAAATTTACTTGAAGAACAACACTAAAAATATTTAATAACAAAATTTGAAATAAACAATTTATTTAAAAAATAAAAATAAAAACTCAAATTTCATAAACACTTAGTTGAACGCTTGTTAAACCAATCATAAGCTACGACGTAAAAAATATGTCATCAAATATTGACTATTTCAAGCATCTTTTTTATGATAGCAAATGAATCGTACTATAATTCACAATAATTATTCGATAATCATCTTTAGTCATAGCAACACCTTTTATGAATATTATTTTTCAATTTATATATATTATGATTTCAAAAAATAGTATGAATATAAAATCTCTACAAAAGTATCAAAAAATAATAAAATAAATTAAAATAATGAAAATAGTAAAAAATATAACAAAAATAAATTTATTTATGTACTTTTCATCAATCAATACAATTTTTGTGCTAACGCATTATTTAGTCTTATAATCATAAATATCATGTAATTCATAAACACAAATTTCTATCTTCTAATTATCTATTTCAAAAGTTAATCTATCCATTATAGTATACTCAAATTAGCTAAAATCAAATTTTAAATGAAAATATTATGATCATGATAAAAAAAAAATAGTAAAAATGAAAACACTAAAAATACACCAATTAATTAATAAACAAACTTGAAATACCAAATAAAAAAATCATAGATTATAATTATAAAATTAAAAAAATATTAAAAATGCAAACACAATAAAAAACAAATCTCATAATTGGAAAAAATATATAATATAAACATGAAATACACTTATATAACCCTCCCATAAAAAAAAAAAAGAAAAACCATAAGTTATAACAAAATCAAAAGTCAAAATATAAATGTTAGAAAATCAAAGGTTTCAATCAATTTTAATAAATAATGATTTTAAAGAATACGAATAGAAGAAAATTAAAAGTAATAAATCAATATAAATGCTAGGCAACCAAAGGTGTATTGGATTTTATGTCATAAAATTAAGGGATATATGTTTAGAATTTATGTAAATAAGAATTGACATCTACTACAAAATATTTGAGTTTTATGTTATATATGATTTAACGTCATACTTTTAATTTTGAAGAAAATTTAATTAAAATATAAGAGTTTGGAAATATTCTGCAACATATTTCTTTAGAAGTTCATTTATAATAAAAAGTTAAAAAGTGATTTTTTTTCTTTAACTACACCACTTTTGTCACATTGCTACTTAAAATATAAAAAGTTACAATTAAGCTCCTAAACTTGTATTCCATCATACAATTTACTTCAACACATTTATCCTATTTGTTAAAAAATTGATGTAGTTTTATTTATTAATAATACGTTGCCAATATATCAAGGGAATGCTAAATCAGTTCATATGTAAGCGTCATATCAACAGAAAATTAGAAAAACAAATTTTTTTTTTCATTTTTAAAGCAAAAAATAAAAATAAAAACTTAAAATCCGAAAATTTTTATTAAAAAACTAAAAATAAAAAGGAAAAATATATTATTATTATTTTATTTTGTTTTGAAAATTTTCTATTAAAAAGTTGTTTTAAAATTTTAAAAGAAAATGTTTTATTTTATTTTATTTCTTATTTTTTTTTAATTTTAATTAAAAAATACTAAAAAATTTTCCAATAAAAAAGTTTTCTAATACTGACGAGTGCTTATGAGTTACATGAGCAGATATTTCCTTAACACATGCTAACTTATTATTAATGTCAAATTTTTTAACGAACGTTAATTTATTAGGATGAATTGCAAGAAGGAATATAAATTCAGATACTTAATTTCTTAACAAATTATGTACATAAACTATAATTAATGCCTAATTGAATTGACATATTGTATTGGAAACCGATCCTTCAATCAGTTCAATCTGATCCGGTTATTAAAGTGTTGGGATGAAACTCTTAATTAAACAGTTTAGCAAAGAGAAATGTCATATACACAAAAATATGAATTCGTATTTGACGATAAGATATTGTTTTTTAATTGCATAAGCACACTTAGAAATTGTCACATATCTCATTTATTTATTTATTTATTATTTTCTTTAATATATCTTAAAAGGTTATGGTTTTTTGTTAATTCTATTTATAAAATTTAAAAATATCATTACTAATGAATGTAAATAATATTTTAAAAACTATACATACAAATATACACAATATTTTTCTCTTATCAAATTTTCTAATCTAATAAAAACAGCGTTGAATTTAGCTGGTTTGTGTGAGAAAGTTTTAAGATGGCCTTAAAAAAACAAAAAGATAAATCCTTTTTGCAACGAACAAAATTTTGATGAAGTTATTAACGTAATATTTATAAAATTCATTTTTAAAAATGAATTAATAAAAATTTAATAAAAAATTTAAATTAATATATTAATAGAGTTTAATATAAAAATAATATGTATAAGAATTATTAAAATATTGTTTTATAATTCAAATATGATAAGTATTTATTTAATGGTAAAAATTTTGTAAAAATGATTATCTAAAAGTATTTCAAAATTTAGTTTTTTTTTTCAAATTTCACACACTTGATTTGTATAATACAACTTTTCAATTTATTACTTTTGAATTTTTAGTTTAATTTTTATTTAATCATTTTAAATAAAAACTTTATGAATTGTATTTAAAAAATTTCATTTAATCTTTTGTTTTTGCAAGAGGTCTTAGTTTATTTGGTCAGAATCAATCTATTGTTACGTGATTACTCCAATCCTATAAATGCTTCTTACTTGAACTTTTTAACTTTGATTTCATTTTATTTTAAATATATTGCTAATTAAAAGATGAAAAAAGCTCTCCACAAACCTTGAATGAAGTTTCCAAACATATTTTTTTTTTTAAAAAGTTATTTTAATAAAATATTTAAAATATCAATGATAAAAATTTTTGCCAAAAATTAGTCAAAATTGAAAAATTTTATCTATAAAAAGTCAAACCAAACATTATTTATGTGACGAAAGATGTAATAAAGTATGTTAAGCCAGACTGATAAGTTTTGTACATCGTCTATCATAATTAAATTGTCACATTTGATTTTTTTTATTAATTTTAAAATTTTTAATGTTATTATTATAAACATTTTAATTAATTAAAATTTTCAAAACATATATTTAAGAACTATTTAATTCAAAATTTTTAAAATATATTTAAAATATTTTTATTAATAATAAATATAAAATAACAGGACATCGAAGTTTTAAAATTTTAACAAAAAAAAAATCAAAATGTCACAAATTAATTGAAATAGAGAGTATATTATTTCCATAAACACATATGTATATATATATATATATATGTGTGTGTGTATACACACATGTAAAAGTTACTCACGTGCATGTCTTATATATGCTTAGTTGTTACGTGTTAAGTAGTATATTATGAAGATTAACTGAAAACTAAAGGCATTTGGATCAGTTGAGCAATTTCAGATAGTGGATAATGTAGATATTTTCTTTTCATTTTGGCGACGACAAACAATTGAGGATAAAAGTTCATTTAGCCTTGAAGCCTTGGACAAGGCACGTGGGTGTGGTTCTAATCCAGCTATTTCCTCCTCTTGTAATCCAATGAATAAGAAAAAAGTTCATTTATGTTTTCAAAAAGAATTGGTTCTTGTGTTTAATGTTTAAAATTCTGTTTCAGTGCACCATTCATCATTCCTTGCTACAAAGGTTTTTGAGTCATGGAAAAAGCAAGCATTCATCATTCTTTTCTATGTAACCGTTACACAACGGATTTCATAACTGGTAAGAAAATTCAAAAACACATGAAATAGAAAAAGAGAACAAAAGCAAAAGCCACACCCTTTATCTTTCCCAAGCTTTTTTTCAAATCCAACAACCTTAGACTTTATCTTTATCGCTATAATCCTATTATCATTTTGAATTTGGAAACCAAGGAGAAATGGGTTCTTGCATCAGCAAATGCAGACCCAATAAATATTACATCGAAAATTTTAGTCATGTTCAAGACAAGCTTGTGATCTCATCACAAACTCCAAAAACTCCCACACCTGTCTCAAACATAATTTCCCCTTTGCCTCTTTCACTTTCCATTTCTTACTCTTCTTCGTTTCCTTCCTTTACATGTACCACTAGTAACACTGCAACAAGTTCGTGTTCATCGGTTTCAAGCTCAGCTTCGGTCTTGAGCTCCAAGGATAGGTCTTTTTCCAATGAGTTCTTGTGGACATGTGTTAAGGAGAACCCTCACGTTATTCGTATTAATTCAATCAAGGAAGCTTCTCTTGCATTAGCTACTGTTAGATTTCCTACTCAGGTACTAGAATCCCCGGTGAAACCAGTCGTTGCACTGGTGAAGCAGGCAATTCCATCAAGAGAGAAAGGCTCAACACCACAGATAAGAGGAAGATCAAGTTCACCATCAAAATTAACAAGACAAAAGAGCTTTCGAAAGGAGCCTGATAGACATAATTCGGCATTTTATTTGCCAAGCAGGAGTTTGAGGTCGCCATCTCCAAGCAGGAGATTTAGCGGAGATAACAAAAATAGAGGAATATTGGCGAGTGCATCGAAGGAAATGTGCTCATCAAAGCGGATTGTTGGTCGGAAGGTAGATGCACTCAACTCTGTTTCTTCCTCTCTAAGAAAAGAAAATTTGAGGCCTTTGAGTCCAACGCTCAGCATCCATCCATCTGCAAGTACTCCATTAAAGTCTTGTTTGAAAAATCGAGAGAATTTCATTCACGGAATTAGTTCTAAAATCGATGAAAGTGCGCTCCCTGCACCCTTGTCGTCCCAGCAAGAAAATAACTCCATTACTATGGAGGATGTTGACAATCCTCTTATTTCCTTGGATTGCTTTATTTTTCTGTAGAAAATTAGTTTGCATGCATACTGAACATTTGTCATGTTCATGCATTATTTAATTTTCTTTTTCTTTAAAAGTTTCTTCATTGCTTTTTTGATTGTTTGTGATGGATGGGTTTAACAATGATCAATAGGATCAAATATTATCTACCGAATTGATATGTCAAGGTGTCTTATTAATTTTCTTAAATGTCTTGTTATATAAGATGGAAGTGTGAAGATTGTTATAAATTTTGACAATGTTTACTGTGTTTTTTTATACGAAATTATAATTATAAGAGAAGTTATAATCATAATAAATAATTATATTCATATAAGAAATCAATGAATTAAATCTAACAAATAAATTAACTACCGAACTAATACATAATTATATAAATCTAATATAAAATTAAATTAAACTCACATCTAGGTAAGATTTGAATATAAAATCTCAAACTTTTAAAACTTTTTCTTTGGCACTAAACCAAGCTCGTGTGGGAGCAACGGTGGCCTCCGTGATTGACTCATCTAGAACACAATTCCTACCGCTGTGCTTCCACATATTAAACCTTTTTCCATTTAATTAATTCACTATAATTATATAAATCTTATATATATATATATATATATATTCGGTTGATGAAATCTAATTCGATTTTCAACAACACTACTGCATAAAGTGGCGCCAATAATATCTTTTTGAATTAATAAGCCGCTATGGCCACTAATTTAGCCTTTTCATGTTTACTAGAAAAACGAAGAAAAATTGAATTAAAGTCAAATTTGTTATTATTTTACAACTCAAAATGGAGTTTTCATTTGTCATTGTCTTTGACTTTATTTAATTTTGTCATTATACTTTTACTTTATCGATTTTTGAATAAAAATAATGAAATTATAATATTTCATTGAATATTCCATTATTAATATAAGTGGCAAATTTAGTTGGTTTTCACCAATTCCGTTATTTTTTAAACAAAAAACAAAATACTGTAATAATAAAATTTAATAAAATAGAAATATAATAAAAAAATTCAATATTAATCTATAATATAATGATAAGTTTAATTTTGATTTAAAATAAGCATTGACAGAGAGAGGAATCAATGATGGATTGTGTAATAAAATAATAGTGGAATATACAAAATAGAAAAATAGTTATAAAACCGAATTATTAGGTTAAAACTTTTTTATCTTTATTTCTTTTCATTTCTCAAATGGAACAAAGCCTAAAAGTTTTAACTATTCGATTGGATTTCATTCATAATTCATTTTATCGTAATCTTAAAATTAGTCAAATATAATAAAAAAAATTATGTAATAATGAACTACAACTTACAACTGTAAAGTCTGCGTGATACTTTCTTCGGGCAATCGAGATGCTAAATACAGTAGTAGGGTAGCTCAAAGCCTTGCTAGTTTTGAATGCAATTTGGATCAGAAACTTGTTTGTTTAGACTCCATACAACAAGATCATTTTTTCTCTCCTTGGGCCTTTAGGTTGAACAATAACTGTCCAACTGTGAGTTGGGCTGAAAAGCTGTGGATAAAGGCCCGTTTCACGAAGGTTCTTTATCAAGTACTCGATTGACTGGCAAAGAATTGAAGATCAATATCTTGAAACGAGAAGAACAAAAGACTGTCCAATTATCATGATCATATAAAAACAAGCAGCATTTGAAAATTAAAATTTGAAACGTAAATAGCATTAATGATCCTGAATTTTCAGAAAAAAAATCATATTCATCTTTAAATTACTAAAAATCATTTGTTGATCTTCGAATTTGCATGTCTTTATTAAGTATCACTTATAACCACGTCTTGCGCGCGTAACGCTAGTTGGCTATGCTATAATTATTTTTCCATAATTATTTTTTTATGAATATTCATTAATAAACAAATCTGATGTAAATAAATATTATTTTTCTTCGCTTATTTAAAAAAAATTACTATTAACATCAATGTTAAAAAAAACAAAACAAAAAAAATTTACATTATTATAACTTGATTATTTTTTTCCTTTCCTTTCATATTTTCTTCTTTTGATTATATTTTTTCTATTTATTTTTTATTTTTTAAATAGAAAATAAAAAATTTAAAAATATACTGAAAAAAAAAATCAATCAAATTGGAATCTAGTTTGTACTTTTATGGATCATTAATGACAACTCTAAATTAATTAAAAATATATAAAAATATGTATTTTTTTTTTTAAAAAAATAAATTGCAAAAAGAGCTGAAAATAAGTTGCCTTAATTTTTTATGAATAAGTAGAAATGCTAAAAACCTAAAGAAATTTAATTAATCAACAAGCTAAAGCAACAAAATTTTTGTTTCGCGAAAAAAACTTGTTAAGTTCTATAAATATAAAAAAAACCATAATCGAATTTTCACTTTTACTTCTAAGAAGTAATAAAGAGGATGGCATTCATTAGGCCAAATATAGAGGCAATTTTGTATACCTAATTTCAACACAGGCATGTATAATGCAAGTGGAAGAGGTCCCTTTTCCGCCTCGGACTTTTTGGAAGGAATGATCAAACAACACAATTTAGTCCAGCCTAAGATGATAAGTAAAAAAGCACTTGGAAACAAGTAAACAAGCTTTAAGAAGAGAAGAGATAAGATTTCTCATCACCTTTCCCAGCAATTTGAGATAGTTGGTCACCTTCCCCTGCCTGGATGGGCCCATTCTGAATTTATTAAACAGAGTCACAGGATTCTCCATATCTATTCTCTGCCATATCCATACTTCTGCAAAAGTTGAAGCAAATAGACACCACTCAGTTGAATTTTGTTGCATTACTATTTTAGAAAACGAAAAAAAATGACACATGAAAGATATGGGAAAGGTGATCTTGTATATGCTATTTAAGTTTTTTGCTTATGGACTGTTCAAGTACTCATTTGGTTTTGTATTATGTTACTTTTGTCTGTTTGTTACTTAAATAATTAAAATTTACAATTAGATATATGAATTTATATTATATCAAGCACTTTGTGGCAAGAGCCAATTCTGTTATGACTAGGCTTATTTGGCCTATGATAAGTTATGGGTAATCATCGCCTGATCATTGTCATGTTATTGTTGAACCCATCACCATGTTATATGAAGAAAAATTGGTAAACGTAGACAATCAATTTTGTTTGAGGTCTTTTTAATATTATTGGATCTCGAATTATATTTTGATATTAAGTTTAAAAATTATTTTTAAGTTGAAATTTAAAGGTTGAAAAGTATTTTTTATTTTTTATTTATGATAAAAATAACATAAATTTTTATTTTTTTAAAAGATTGTGATTCTATTTAGATTGAAAATTTAAAAGTTGTGTTTCATTTTGGTAATTTTTGAGAATAAAGTTTTTACAAAGAAAGAAAATGAAATTTGATAGGATTTTAATAGATTTAGCTGACATTAAAAAATTTCAAATTAAAATGGGATTCAATCCTTATATAAACAAATCAATTTCAAACTCAAAAAATCAAGAAGCAACACAATCAGAATCATTAAGCAACACAGAGTTTTGAGGGAGAAATTTTTGAGCTAGAGAGATGAAGGAGAAGGAAATATGAAGGCTTTAGATTTTTTTTTTTTAGCTTAAATTCTGAGAGCAAATGACACCATTTGGAGGAGACCCTTGACCTATGCTTCAGACCTACGTGACTTGTGCATCGACCCATTTTTTAACTCAACCTAAACGTAGTTTTTCTTTTTCTTTTCTGATTTTTCTTTTTTTCTAATTTTCTAATTTTATTTTATTTTTTAATTGTGATTGAATTGAAAATAATGAAAAAAAGATTTTTATTATGTTTTGATTACAAGTATTTGTATATATTTTCTTCAACCTTTTGAATTTAAAATTGTTTGACAATATAAACCTACATGATATTTTTTCATGAATGAAAAATGTTCTTTTTAAAGAAAAAACTTTTATGAAAATAGACTTAAGAGAATTGGTTATTATTGTCAAAATGATTATACCTAGTTGTTTCACTTATCATTTTATACTTCAATTCAGTTGAGCACCACACCACTCAAAGCTTGACTTTTCAAGTTCTACGATTCTGATTTTCACTTGACAAAGATGGATTTCCAAGTTAATGATCTATATTAAGGTTATGAGCAATGGAATTTGTAAAGTCTTTTTGAAAAATTTTTTGTAGGCCAATAAATGAGACACTCTTATAAAGAATCTAGATTTTGGTAATCTAATAAGTATCAAGACTATTCCAAACTCATCATTACATAAGTTTCTTCAAAAAACTCAAACTTTTCAATTTCTTCCTTGGAGTGTAATTACTGAAAAAGCCATATCCTTTAATATCCTTGTTTGACATCTTGATTTATGCAACATTCCTTTTTTCTTTCATTTATGACCCTAAAATTTTTTTTTACCCAGATCTTGGGACAAATTTACCAAAGAGCTAAATTATCTAATTTTTTCAATATCTTTTGATCTAGATGGCATTCATTTCATCTCTTATCAAATGGAGATTATATGAACATTTGGTGTGGGTTGTGAAAATGAAGATTGTTACATTAGGAGTTTAGTTGATGGAGTAAGATGATACATTTTGAGCTTGAGTTGTAAAAAAAAAAAGCAAAAAAAGGAATTGATTGTAACGTCATGCATATGAGATATTAAAATGATTTCAAAATCAAAGAGAAAAAAATCTTCTCCTGAGAATTGCTTTTTGATAAAGGTAGCCATATTTAATATGATAAATAGCCATATTTTATATTCATTTTAGAAAAATAAAATATCCATTTACTACCTCTTTAAGCCTATTGAATTCTTTTTGAAGAAATTCTAACCAAGGATCACCTTCCATATTGAGTGCAAGTATGAATGATGATATATTTGAATTAGATCCAAAGTCAATGACAATAAAAGAATTCCTATAGTCAAAAGGCAATCTTGCCATAAATAGAGTTTCAAAATTTTGAACTCAATTTGTTAAAAGTGAAAGCATGCAAGAGAAAATGAAAAAAAAAAAGAGAAAAAGATGAAAATGCATGTTTTGAGAAGTGAAAATGACAAATGTCCTTGGAAAAAAAAATGATCATTGGTTTGATTACCTTTAAACAAATTTTAGGCCTATTTATCTTTTCTAT